TTAGAGTTCTCTTCTTGTAATTTGAAATGGTGGCTTACGAAACACAAATATAGTTTCGACTTACAGGCTCCGACGAAGGCGATATTACCGAAACGTAAGCCGTGTTGATAAGCTGTTATTAAAATGTCGGAAGGCTAACAATACAACCTACGACGAAGTTCATTATGCCGAGATTAATCGAGAGTCGGACGTGGGATAAGTGTAAGTGAGTTTTTTGTTGTTTTTTTATTCACGGCCCAGCACCGGGCAGGTAGAAGGTTAAAGTTGAAATAGTGGTGTGCAAAAGAGAAGGTGGCGTTTAGTAGTAATGACTCCCTAGAGCCACTTTCTCTTTCCACACAAGTGCTCCTATTGTAAAAGCAGATGTAGATGTCGGTCTTTTTCTTTTTATGATTAAATTTTGACAAGAATACATATTCGAAGCGTCCCAGAGAAATTACCCTAAAATTCCATAGATAAGTGCGGTTGAAACTACCGGTGAAAAATGAATTGGAATGAAATAGATATTGAATGCAGTCACCCTCTAACTTGATGGATGAATGAATTAAACTTCGAAGAAGAAGATAAGAAGAAGCTCCGCCCCTTAACTCCAAACCCCGCCCATTTAATAAACAGTTAATATAGAAAAATAGCGATCCATTAAAATCGGATGACTGCATCCAATTTCTATTTCATCCCAATTCATTTTTCACCTGTAGTTTCAACCGCTCTTATCTATGGAATTTTAGGGTAATGCTGTGGATGGGTAACTGGATAGCAAGGTTTCTGTGAACGAGAGCAACAGTGAATGAAGAATCCTATAACTGTTTTTTTCTCACAAGTGACAACGAAGTTTTGCCTTTCTGTTTGTTTTCCTGATCGGTTATACTAAAGACGTTGTAGGAAAACGCCTGGTGGGTATGTGATGAGGCGATTCAGCTACACGGTGGTATGGGATTCATAAAAGATTGTGGTCTGGAACGAGTCATGAGGGATTTGCGAATCTTGAGGTAGTAAAACCCCTTAATGTTATTGGCAAATGCTTAGTTTAAAAATGAACAATTTGCTTTTTCCAGAATATTCGAGGGTGCAAATGATGTCATGTGACTATTTGTGGCTTTGACTGGAGCGCAACATCCTGGAAAACATCTTCAACACGTGGCTAAGGATATTAAATCCGGTAGCAACGGAACGCTTTTTGGACAGGTGGTGAAGAGAGCAACGGGGTGAGAAATGCCAAGGTTCATCGGGGATCTACAGAATACTAAATTTGGATGCTTTTAGTGGCAGCCCTGGAGCGGATTTCGCAGCTGTGGTAGATCCGGCTTTGGGTGATTCAGCCAAAAAGCTGGACAACTGCATCAAGGAACTCGGCAAAACAGTTGAAAATCTTCTCATCAAGTATAAAAAGGGCATTATTCGTGAGCGTCGGAGGCTATTTAGATCTGCATTCCAAGCAACTCGTCAGCTCGTATTATAATACTCGGGTTTTGGTCTCAAACGGATTACTCCTCATTGCTTTCGTTTTAGAGATAGATTTGAGCTTGCGTAGATTTTTCAAGTTCTCAAAAATTCTTTTCAATCACAATTATAGACCGACAATATGAGCTGATCCGTTTCGCGGACGCGGCAATCGATATCTGCAGTATGATCACTTTCTAGGAGAGCTTTTCCGGTTTCGATTTAATCACCTGCAGCTTCCAGTCATTGAATTCCTTAAGCTAGTAGCGTTTCTATTCACTGGACTAGTGTAAAATCCGCTGCTCGCTGGAGATTTTCGGAACGATCTTTTGGCCCGTCAACGAGAAAGTTTGTTCTGTCTCATATAAAGACTACTGAATGACTGCTTTCATAGCTATGAAAGCAGCCAATGCATAGGTTTTGCGGGGCTCTTGAACAGAAGATAAACCCCACTTATACAAATGACAATGCAAAACAGATTGCACCTCCAAGGAAGCACAGGAAACGAGGGGAGGTATGAATGGGCTTAGGACAGCAGAAGTATAATCATCTCCTAAACACAACCTGAGGCTCGCATTCAATTCGTCCCTTTTTTTCTTCTCGAAAATTTCAATGATGATTGTTCTTTTATTACAAGTATGTTGCAGATCTATGTATCGTCGAGACTTGTATTGATGCCCTTTTGATAATCTGCGTTTCCAGATGCACTTATTCGTGCAAGAACAGCGCCGCCAGTGCTCCTCATGAAAGGGATATTGCGAATTATTTCTGCTATATTGTGAGTCGTTTTTAACTTTTCTATGAGATTAAATGGATGGCGAGCCCAGCATTTTTGCTGTGAGGCTGAGCCTTATACAATATTTTGCGTCTTTTCTCTATGGCTCCTATCTTTTCCTTGTTTAGTGCGCCACTTATGAGTTATGTGTTCGGGCATCACGACGTACTATGAACAATCTCAAAGAAGCAGCCCATGGTAATGAGTACGACGTGAAATTAATCGCCTCCATTGCTAAAGCTGTCTGCAAGAATGGTGGCTTACCTACGCTGCATCCGGTTGACGTTTGAATGAAGTGTCAGCCAGCAAGGATTCATTTATCTACACCTTCTACAAGTCAAATTGCCTTTGTATAGATTCCCACGTTGTTTAATTTTTCCGCATAGAATTCTGGCACCTTATACAGTGCCGAATTCTGTTTTTTTCAGTAGGCTGGGCTACTCAGAAAAGACCTAGTCGATTCATGTGTAACTATTTATTGTTGTTCGATATGATTTAGTTTATCAAAGCAGTTTTCGTGTACATGTCGGGTACTCAATTGAAATAAAGAGTTCGTTTTCTAATTTTTGTACTCCAACCGTATAAATCTGCCCGTGTGGGAAAACCATTGATCCAGTATGAGCGAAAACACGGTATCCAGGTCAAAGTGCATTCGATCCGAGGCCCCATAAATGTTCTTTACACTAGATTTAACACTAGTTTGTACAATCACCTTTATCATTTTTCAGTCTGTCGCCTCTTACTTAGTGATTTTCTGCATCAAACCAGCTCGGGATACGTTTCACACGCGAGTGGGCCCAGTGCTGATTTGCCTTTTTGTACAGGGTACGGCATGTCGCACTTGGCGAAGACTGGACCTGCATGAACTCACGAATGTTGATAGAAAGCTGTGCTCGCGGGTCAGTGCGCGATCCGTTGCGGATTTAGTACCCAGGGGTAGTCTGGTATCACCAGATTCGTGTAGTTTCAGGCATGGTAATTTTTCCGGTAGTGCCCAAAGCACTATCGCGACTGGTTTCGAGCCGGTGGATCGCCGAGAGGCGATTGATTTTTGCCCTCGATCATTTTTGGTCGATGACGGTTGGTCGACGTAGCTAAAAAGTTGTCAATCAGTCTGTTGAACAAGCTAGATTCATGATGAATTATTTTGGGCCGAACGAGCATCATTTTATCCAACAAGCAAAAACCACAGCTTTGGTAGAAGAATGTGCATGGCGGTCCGCGAACCTGAGACGCACGACCACTAACGGCCAGACATCACTTTGAGCAACTAGCTCCACATCTGTGGAGGTTTTAGGTTGTGTGATATACCTTACATATGGCAAGCGCTGTAGGAATGACCCTCTTTCCATACATTTCACGACCAAATGATCATTTTCCATCCCCTTCTTTTAGAGATGGCCCAACGATCAGCTTCTTCCGATAGCTCTTCTCTGATCGCTATGGTTCCTCTAACCCACTGTTAGAAAACAAAT